GCAAAGTGGTGTATATTTTCAAAACCTATATATATAAATATATTCTTTTTGAATATATATATGTATATATGCGTATGCATGGTTATGTGCGTATGTATGTATATATATTTATATTTTCTTTCCTTAAAGTTTATTTCTTTATTTTTGTTATACTTTTTTTTATGATTTATTAATGCGAACTTTGTTAGGCTGATGCCATTGTATTAGCTCAGTCATTTTGTTTCTTTTTATTATATATACACTATGCCTCGGCGTTGTAGGACCTTGAGTCCATTGTCGATTAAATAAATTCAACTCAACTCAACTCAACTCTCTCTCTCTCTCTCTCTCTCTCTCTCTATTGTACTCATACAGGTAGACCTTTTTCATTGCTTTTATTTATTTTACGCTTGTAGAAAATGATGAATCAATACTAGAACTTATATCATTTTATAATCATTTTTAAGAAATTTCTCCTTTGTGAGCAGAATTATTTTAAAATAACAATAACTGACCACAATTAAAAGTTTTCCCGGGGTCTTTCAATTGTGTTTATTTAAATTCCATCTTAACCCGTCTTTAGTAAAGAGCCAACGAAATTCACGCAAGTACACAACTACGCACAGTAAACAGGTATCCGAAAAGATACGGAGGGACAGAGAAAGTAATACACATGAACGTTTATTAAACTAATGTATGTACCTATGTATAGATAGGTGGTACAGATACTCTTCACCGAGTATTATTGTTCTTTTCCGTGCTGGTTGCTTATATGTTAATGAACAAAAAAAATATAAACATAATTAACTTTTTTCTAATCTATAATATTCACTGGTAAAAAGACATTCATAAATAAACAGTCTTTTTAATATAAAAATATGAAATGATGATTGTAAAGAGTCAAAAAAATAAACACTTTGTCTACCTTGTTCGTTTTTGAGAGGCTGGTTTGCGCTCGGTAGAAAAAATAGAATGTGCAACATAAGCAACATTGCTCCGTGGCTGCCTTACTTTCCTCGGGTCCTGTTTCGCAGGTCTCTCAGACCACAAAATAGCTCTGGAGACAATTGTACTTATATGACGAAAAATACTACTTTCATCATAGACAATCAAATACTACAGAGTTCAATAACGTATTCTTTAATGTTTCACATCTGTCGTGGGTCCCGAAATCCACACCTGGTTTTTTAATTCTTTCTGTACTCTGAATTTTTTTATAATACAATGTATCAAAGAAAGTACGTTGAAAAAATATTTAGCTTAAACAATTCTTTGAGGTTGACAGTATGGCTATAAGCACCTTAAATGTAATTTATTATTTTTATTTGTCATCGCTATGAACTGTAGGCCAAGCTCCGGAGGATATCAATGAACATATCTGACTTCTGATTCTATAATGTTCGAAGTTTGGATAGCTGAGATGGCTACGGCTTATGACACTAAAAAGATAGTTTTGCACTTTGGGGTTCGCTTCCAATTGCCGTCAGATTTTTTTTTTTTTTTTTTTTGCAATTCATTATTAAATTCATCTATGTTGTCAACACTCTTTTTTCGGGCATGTCAAAATGAATATATTTTTAATACTGACCCAATTAAATAATTTATTACGTTAATAGTTCTCGTTTGCAAGGCTCTTCCATAATTTTATAATATTTGACAAATCATTTTTAAGTTTTTTAATTTTTGTTTGCTTTTTCTTACAGTGCATTCGATAAATGCATGCAAATTTTATATATTATTGACATTGATACAACAGTTCCCTTAATTGTAATTTTAATGTAGTTCTCAACGTTATGTTATTTTATACAGCCCGAAATAGCTTATTTTATATTTTCCTTTATTCCATAAGGTTTTTATATCGTTTTTTTTTTTTTTCTCGTAAAATAACAATTTTATTTTAATGAGATGAGTATTATGCTATTCTTAACAGATTTTACTCATTTGACATTGCAACTTATGTGTACTTTAAAACGCTTACTACAGCAAAATAAATATATGTAGTTTTGTTTGTTTTAAAAGAACTTTTACAATAGTTTAATAATAAACGTTTGATGTCAATTAGTGGCTAAAACTTTTTATTTGCATTTCTACATTACTTAATGATGTTAAATAATTTTATTTACTGCTGAGGAAGCAGTAAAACGTTTTACGGTAGCTATTTAACATGTTAGATAACTGTGTAGATTTTTCCAAGATTTTGCCCTGTACATTTGTATATTGGTAACATTCTACCTTTTAATACAAGCTATGTACAGAATTAAGCTTAGGCTCGTCATTTTTTTTAATATAGATGATCTGTATATGCTTTTTTTCCTATGTTATTTCTAAGTGCTTTGTATGTTATTGTTTTTATCTATTGATCTTATAACATATGTTATTTATATCTTAATTTACTCATGTGATCTGTGCTCCAGCCTATAGCTATGCTATTATATTAAGCTAACTAAACTGTTTGTAAATATATTGTCTTGTACTATATAGGGCCCATGAGCCCTTAGTACTAAATAAATAATTCATTTCAATTCAACTCTCTCTCTCTCTCTCTCTCTCTCTCTCTCTCTCTCTTGCTAATCAGCTCCAGTTTAGGCCTCTTGGAGATTGTGGCTCCCTTCGTCGCTCCCAATTTGATTTGGTGATCCCATATGCTAGCACCTCTTACTATCAAAACTCGTTCCGCGTAGCTGGTCCGCGACTATGGAATACTCTTCCGCATGATCTACGCCGATGCTATGATCGGCCCTGTTTCAGGGTGCTCCTTTACAATTACTTTATTGATAAGACGTTTGGTCGCCT